TTAGAATTAAGGACATTCATGGAATCATCTTACGTATTACAAAAGAATAAAAAACAACTTACATTGATAGAAATGTGGAATAAATAATAATTTATATAGTTTCTAATAATAAATAAAAATATGTAGGTACATAGTAATAATAACAACTATATATTAAATGTACGTATATTAGATTTTTTTTAATAAAATCATCACTTTTTTAAATCTACTATGTGCAATTTTTTATCTACCCTGTGTAACGCGGAATCCTGTATATGCCGGAAAATCGGTGCACGACCGTGCGATTCCGTTTTACACAGGTTTCACTGTAATAATATTTTTAATTTTTGTAAAACAAATGGTAGTCTGATTTAAGAACTTTGGTTAGTTCTTGCAAGTGGTCGTACTTGTGCTTTTGAATTCCAGGACAAGTAGTGTATAAACCAAGCGGCTTTACGGCTGAAAATGTTCCAGGTTTTTGGGGAGGGACTGCCAGGTATCTGTCATTTTGAATTTATATTCAATCGTAAGGTCCTATCCATTATACCTTAGGGCTCTCAAATCTGGATCACCTGCCTTTTTTTCCAGGACGAATGGAACTATAATATTTTAAATTTGAGTAAGCCTTTAAAAATTGATGTTCTAAATAAATCACACTGTAAGGCATAGGATTTTATCGTGCAGTTTCAATTATATTTACATACTCAGCTGGAACGCTTATAATTCTATTCTTGATTTTCCGTTCTATCACACTATGCACTGAATCGCAACTCATTTGGGTATGGCCCTTCTCTAAAATCTTTTGAATAATACTGATTTTTTTTTAATGCTGAACATTGTAGTAGTGCATTTAATAAAATGCAGTTTTGGTTTTGATACGTACAACCATCACTTCGTAAAATTATCTCTTTTAACTGTTCATTACAGTTTTTCTCGTTATAGTCTACGATGCATGAGGAGAATTCATTAGCTGTAACATTTCCCTTGCCCTCATTCCAGACGTAACAGGTAACTAACTCTTCATGTGTAATATTGTTAAACAAGGTAAAGTTATGAAATCTTAGTTTTTTTTTAGTATATTGCTGAGGCTTTCAAAAGTGAACATGGAAGAATAGCTTATAGATCCATTGTAATCACCAGTAAAGTTTTATATAATTTAGCTCTTTCTGTGTCTGCCATCATTTCACTTCTGGTGTATTTTTTCCTCTGTTTATGTTCTAACCATTTCTCTTCACTTAAGTTATTCACTTCGTGTATGCAACACAGATCACATTGATCCTTTTTAGGTTGGAATAATGCAATGTTCATCCGTGTGAAAATACTTCTAAATTTAGTGAGGGACAATAATTTTATTTTGGCTTCAGTGCAGTCCTGGACATATACATCATCTTTGGGTTTTAAAAATAGTCTCTAAATATAGCTTGCTAGATTGAGACCTGCAGTAATACGAAGGCATCTTTAACAGCTCGTTTAAAAATGATTTGAAATGTTTATTTTGTTCAGTTTTTCTCAAATTATTGGGTTATGTAAAATTAGTAGAAGACTTAATATGCTGCCCCTTTAAAGCCCATTCTCTAGCAGTCCGTTCCCCAACTCCTAGTGTGTACAAAATATCAGTTTACATACATTTAACCTTTTGTCATCTTTTTTAAGTGACGTTAAAGTAACGGCTTTTTTGGGGGGACAAAGTTGGAATTATTGTTTCTTGATTTTGATGAACAGTCCTTTTACAAATACTTTTTTTTGACCCCAATCCATATTTTGCCAAAAGTTTTCAAATATTTTCAGACGGTCCTCGTGATCAAATTTTTTACAGCATCTAGAACTTTGGTCCTTGGAACACAACTTACTAGAACAGGTTTGACAAAGCTGTCTTTTTTCTATACCACAGAAACTGTTTTTCCTGTACTTAGCATCCGACTTTTTTTCTTCTTTTTGCAATATTGACATATTTTTCCCATAATAAGCTTTAACGAACGTTTTCGTTTTGATTTTTCACCGGGAATCGCAGGATTCGCAATTATCTCTATTTCTTCAATTTGGTCGTCGTTTTCGTGATTTGTGACTTCTTCGTCAGAACTTGAGCCACAGCTTATACAATACAGCTAAAACACTCTCTTGGCGGCAACGGTTTGCGTCGATTTCGTCGCGCATCGCTTAAGCTCCGCCTTCGGAGGGAAAATATGGTTTTGGCGTTCAGAAGTGTACTTAGGTAAGGTGTTGAGTCGTGCGTATAATTTCGTTGATTGTATAATTTCGTGAAGCCTATAATTTCGTTGATTCTGTTTGAGTTTAAGGTACCGTTATTATTTTGGTGACTCTTTAGCTGTGAGTAGAATGAGTGAAAAAAAGACATCATTCTGTTTGTGCAGTCAAAAGCTGTTTTAATAAGGGTTATACCTGCAAGAAAACATTCTTTAGTTTTCCCAAGGACCCAAACCGATAAGTAACACATTATAAGAAATTTTCATTGTTAAAAATATAATTTATACAGGGTGTCCCATTAGTGCGTTGTTGTTCATTATTTTGTTGTAGACACGCAAAAAAGTTTTAAATAAAAGTTATATGGATTTGAAAAATACCTACATATTTTAAAAATATCTTTGGATATACAGGGTGTCACGTTTTTGCCTGGCAAATTAAAATGTATGTTTTTTAAATGGAACACCTTGTATTTTATTTTATGATGAAATTATTAACACCCTAAATTATTGTAAAGACGAGTTGCTACAGAAAATATTTAACAGGTATGTGTGTGGTTACCTTTTAATAAAAGCCTTGCGGATCCACTCCTGTGATACCTGTCTTAAATATAACAAAGATCACGTTGAATTTGATGATTTTTCTTTTAATTGCTTTTCAAAGGCATATGATAACGCCAATTCAGATACATTTGGAAATCTGCAACTGTCAAATGATGAATTTGTAGAACTAATATTCAATATTGAAAAGATATTTCAAAATAATTTTGAAAAATTGGCTACAAAAAATAACATTTGTACCACACTTTTAGAATTAATTAACCCAATACCCTTTAGTCATCCATGCTAACGTTTTCCAAAAGAATAACTTATTTTAATGTATGTTTGATCTCAATAACTAAAAAATATACTGACAATTAGTTTGACAGAATTGTCATTTATTTAAAATTTTAAAAATAATAGCAGTCGGTTGATCAAAATATGAACGGTGATTGGAGAATTTTTTTTTGCAGTGTTCTCACTACCTAGAATGGATATGAAATATATTCGTTCAATTGAAGGCAATAGCATACTTTTTCGTTTTGTAATCTGTGCATGGATATTAGCCAATCTATGCACATGCTACAAAACAAAAAAGTATGCTATTGCGTTCAACTACAAATATATTTCATATCCATTTTAGGTAGTGAGAACACTTTAACAAAATTAAATCTACATATCACGTTCATATTTTGGTCACCCAACTCCTATTATTTAAAAATTTTTAAATAAGTGACAATTCTGTTAAACTAATTGTCAATATATATTTTAGTTATTGATATTAAATATACATTAAAATTTTTGTGTAGACTCGATAAATAATAGCATTTTTGTTTTTATTGTGTCCACATTTAAAAAAAAAATTTTAATCAAACTACATGATACTAATTTAATTACGAGTATTAAAATTAAAGTCCTGAAAGTTTTGGTGAAGATGAGGACAGAGCATCTGCCTTTCACGCGAAAAGCCCTGGATCGAATCTAGGCCGAGGACTAATTAATTTTTCATGTTTATTTTATTTTATAAATTAGTCAATTTCGTAAATTATTTTAAAATTAGTTATTTTGTCTAAATAACCTAAAATATTTTTTTAAATTTGTAGATTTTCGTTAGTGGGTCGTAGAAAAAATATACTGACCATATCGAGTGGATTGTTCATATCACAATCAGACGATTGAGTACTCCGCCTACGACGTCGTGCTCAAACTTCGTCTTTGTGTGATATCGCTATCATATCCACCCTTGTTGAACTAACTACTATTCATTTGTTTTCTTGGTTTAAGTTTTACATCAGAAATAGGAACTAAATTAATTTACTTTTCAAGTTTTCTTGTAAAAATCGATATTACTTTCTCCAAGTACAAATTTAGTACCTACCTAAAATAAGTACTACTTATGTAATTTCGTGTAATATTGTAATTCAAATTTCACATTACTATAAAGTTTCAAAATTCCCTACTTCGGTATGGTCAGATAAAAATTGAATATATTACGAGTATATTAATAAAAACTGTCAAAGTATTACTTCTACAAATCTGTATTTCAATTAATAAGAATACATCTAAATATAACCAATATTGTTAAAATAAAAGCACAAATTCTTTATAATTCCAAAATACCATAGAGTTCCCTGACCTTAGTCGAAGCATTCGTTTATCTAGGTATAAACCCTTTGCGCGAAGAGTAACACTTGCCAGACACACGGGTTACCACTTGATTTGCATCCACGAGCGTGACAAAATTCTTTAACAATTGAAGCCCTTGGTGTAAAAAGGATCCAAGCCACAATTTGTCGTGAAGTGACTGTTTTAGCTCAAAACATTTGTTAACGAGGATTTTACTAGCCACATACAAATTATTTTACCTCTAAAAGATGTGCTATTTTTCGTAATATTTATATTTAAATAATTTTTTTAATTATATTTGACAGATTTAAAACAAATTAAAAATTTAATTTCCCAAAACTTACTTAATATGGCATGTAACCAACCTTATTACACCAAGGTTTTCAATTTTTTCAATAATAAAAAAATTGTTTAATACGGGCCCGAGTTTTCCCTCGAATCTAACAGAGATAGCACCATTCCATCTTGCTTGGTTCTCGACCGCCAGATCAAAGACGCCGACACGGAGTTGTGGAGCTGTATTGTATAAGCTGTGCTTGAGCTCTTACCATCATTCGATGGCTCATAAAGTTTGTCCGACCCTTTATTTTTATTAGAGTCTGAAGAATTTTCATCAAAAGTATCTTGAATTGCATGCTGTTTTTCAACATTAACATGAGCTAGAATAGTATAAGAATGTTCTGATAGCCCCTTATAATTCTGAATATTATTACATGTTACGCCCAAAGGCCCTGCTTGAGGCAATAAAGTCTCGTCATCATCGCCGCTAATGCCAAATTCATCAACAATATCTTTTGGACACTCAATGATTACATTATTTTCTGTCGCGCTTGCCTCAGAGTCAGTTTCTTTGAGTACTAAAAAAAATTGACTGTTGTAACTTGAGCATTAAAGTCTAATGTTATGACTGTTGTAACTTTAGCCACAGCCTATATTTTTAGGATAATAAAATTATTCCTAGAAATGAAGGCCAAATGTACCTATCATTCACCTTAAGCACATTCTCTCAGAAATATCAAGAAATTTTAGTTAAAAAGAGCATAGCTAACTAATAATAATTTTTGTTAAATTTTATTAAAATAAATAAGATATAATTTGCCACTAACTTTTTTCCCTTTTGCTAAACCTAATAAATGTTAAACTTAACAGGGTTTAGTTTAATTATGTACAATATTATAAGGTTAAGTTCACATAGTGTACCTACCTGTTTGAATGTTAGATTCTTTTAATGGATAATATTCTTGAGGTAATATTTCAGAGTCCACCACAAAAGTTCTATTCTCTGGTTTACTTTGAAACAGTTTTACCATTTTAAGGACTTTTCCAGACATTATAGCACAATTTAATACAGAAAACTAGCACATAGAACTAAGAGCAAACACCTTAAGAATGAATATAAACATCTCTGATGTAAACAAACATACATACAAGGTTTGAGAACATTTTTTTCGAACGCGCGCAAAAGCGAGATTTGGATTGTCGTTTTAGGGCAATAATAAATACGAAGTTTGGTTTGAATAGTTTTTTTAGTTGAAATATTTTTTATTAAATACGAGGCTTGGTAATATTGTAACCTACAAAATGAACTTGGTGATTCCACCAAAATTTTTAAACTTAAAAAAAAATTATTAAAGTATTAACTACAATTAAAAAGTTGTCTACTACGGTTACACAAGTTTCGGTTGTTCCGGTGTCAACCTTCGGGCCTTCGACGTCGCTCAGACGGCAGCTAGGGGGTGGATAGCTTACAAAAATTCCGGAAATAGTAGACAAATAAATAGGCGCCAACTGGGTCTATATAGTGGCCAAACTATGATCCTATTTCCCCAAAAACCCAGTAAATGAGGAAAGAAATAAAAGACAAACCTCAACTTATGTTCCTTTATAAAGAAAAAAAAAAAAATATTTAGTAAATATACAAACTAATTACCTGATGGCTTAGATAATAAAAAAAAAAAGTTGGAGGAAATTAAAAGGAAAAACTTACACAGTGTATGTATATGCATAACCCAAAAAAATTAATAAATGTATCAAAGTATGGAACGGTTCGTCGTTAGCTTGGTACCAGGCATGACGCTTGCGCAAAACATTAATTTCCACCTTACATAAAAAAAATATAATATAATAGTTAACTTAAATATTGTGCATCACCGTACCTATACTACTTCATATATTATAAAAACAGTAAACTTATAATCTTTATAATCTTATAACCCTCTCCAAATTGGAAGGCGATATCTGCTTAACTTTTGGTTAAGACCAAACTACCCAAAAGAAAATTATTAAACCATGAAATTTTATAATTAAGTATAATTCATAGAACTAAATAAAAATATCAAAAAAAATAATAAAAATACAACATATAAAGGACTTTAGACAGAGGTTATTTAATTAAACTCCCAGATTGGAAGAGGTTACTTAATCTCTGCCCCCACACGGGTCTTCTGAGATTGCTTAACTTATAGTTAAGTCTTATCATTTAATAATGAATAAATTGAATAAAGTAAAATTATGGCAGTAGCCCTTAATAACTGAAGAATTACAACTTAAACGTGGAAGCAGTCCAAGTGTTCTGCGACCCGAAGGATTACTACATCAGCATTAAGTGCTTAAATTAAGTAAAAATTTAAAATATTAATCAATTAAACGATGTACCATTTGATAATACTTAAGTTATGAGTGAAAGAACCCTAGAACATTCTGTGCTCAAAAGTATAAATAATGTTGAGAATACCTTGACAACATTCGGTTGAAAGTGAATGTATAATTTAACAATGCACGCATGAAACCTTCAATATAACGTATAAGAAAAACCTGATAGTAGGGTGTCTTCTTTCACAGCATTCCCATCTTCCTATCCAGAACAAGAAACATTCTTGTAAATCTAGCTACAAGTAAACTAGGTAGCTAGCATACCAATGTCCTGTGTCCCCTCGATGAGTCCACGATGAAACCGTTGAACTCCGGACGATATAACCCTCTGTGTACAACTGTTGAAATCCTGGGTCAACAATCCCTTGGGTCAAACTGTCGTCGAATCCTGGGCTAACAACCCCCTGGGTTAAACCCTTAAAATATTACAAAGAAAAATGTCAATACACATTGACTCAAGTATCCCGAACTATAGGATTACCCAAAAATGTACATAAACTAGAAAATATTCAGTATCTAGGATAAAGAAAAACTACATTGGCTCAACAGTGAGTCATAAACAGTATTATGAGCTCCAATAATTAAAATTCTGTTACACATGGTTGGTAACATAACCTAATATATACAAAACATACCTTTTTCGTAAAGGGTTAACTTGGTAGCCTTTCAAGGATGAGAACCACGTGAGATGATTCACAGCACAACAATATTCCACACTCCAAATGCTGTGAACTCCCGATTATTGCGTTAAAATCCTATATTAGATATGGGCTGGACCAATGACCATGGGAATTTACCAATTCACTAAAATTCCCCTCAAAATACGAAATGTCCATTTACCCACAATTAACCATGAAATAGAATCTAAAATCCCCTTTAATTAGGGTAAGCCGATGGGGCTAAATATTAAGAAAATTCTATTTCGACACAAAAATCGTCTCTCGTGACTGAATACCCACTGACAGAAAAAAACAATACGTCAGCCGTCCAAAATGGCCGAAATCCCTTTCCGATAAATGTCAAGTGGGTTCAGAAATTCATCCTCAAGAATTCCCCACTATATAACTTAACAGACCATTTACGAAAGGTACCCTAAAAACTATATTTATATACAGTATAACTACATTTGGGAAACTGTTCCCGACAAAAAATTAACACAACAGCGATCGCAAAACAAAATCCCTCACGACTTAAAATCGCTCATTGTGAAACTACCTTACCTCGGGTTCTGAGCCCGATATTGGAACGTCCCACCAACATGACACTTGTCGGTGTTCTGTCGTCAAATGACGTTTATGTCATTCACTGTCATAATTAATAAACATTAATCCAATTCTGACAGCTATAAACAAAGAAAATCTTAAATAATGGTATCGTAAATAATTAATTACCCAAAGGTGAGACTATAATACATAATATATATAAATTTACAACGAAACTTGGTCTATTTTTAGGAGAGTCTGGCAAATTAAAACAGGGAACACTACACCGCAAATATGACCAATGTACAAAGTATTATACTAGTGGTGAGCTACCATCCTTTTACTTAGTGGTGAGATGAAATAAATTGTAATAATGATACCCGAAAGTTAGGATACAGATGAAATTAGTTAATGACAAAAATAGTAGTGATATCATCAATACGATTTTAACCTTTTTTTTTGTATGATTAACCAGGTAAGCCAAAACAATTTTATTAATTCGTGGGGCCAAAAATGAACGTTACAGATTCCCCCCTTACTTCAAGAGAATTCACTCAGGTGAATTCTCACCAGCGCTAGCTGTCTTCAAATCTTTAATATTCCAAGTCCCTTTGTCATTACCTTTTTCGTCCATTAAAACATATGTCCACGGAGATACCTTTCTCTTAACTAAATAGGGACCAACCCATCGAGGTGCTAGTTTCTTAGTATAGTACCGCGCAGCATCAGAAGAAACAAAATTCTTACGCCAAACCAATTGATGAGGAAGCAATTCCTCCCTACGCCGCCGAAGATTATAAACCCTTTCGTTTTTCTGCGAAGCTTTATCTAGTCGTTCCCTGACGTCCTTAAACAAATCATCAAATGCCTTGTTATTCTCAACATTATTAATACCAATGTCAGCAGAACAATCTCTCAGTTTATCTTTAATTGCAAATTCGCTACCCTTTAAGACCATATTTCTCCCAAAATTAAGATAGTAAGGAGTCTGTTTAGTAGACTCATTAAAAGAAGTACGTATAGCACAAGTCACTTTTGCTAAGTCAACGTCCCACTTTCGGTGATTATCAGAAACATACATAGCCAACATCGTTTTTAAAGTCCTATTATACCTTTCAGTAGGATTCGCCTGAGGATGATAATGGGCGTTAAACCGTACCGAAACTTCATACTCCTTCATTAATGAAGAGAACGCTCCCGAAGTAAACTGTGGACCATTATCGCAAAGCAACAAACGCGGAATACCAAACAACAAAAATACCCCCTCTTCAATTCGTTTAGCTACTATTGGTGCAGTAGAGGATTTCAAAGGAAAAGTAAGCGTAAACTTGGTGAACAGATCGACAACGACTAAGATGAATCTATTGCCAGCCATGGATCGAGGTAGTGGACCTATCAAGTCAGTAGAAATAATTTCCCAAGGACGAGTAGCTCTGGGTTGGGGTGTCATATGTCCTTTAGGGCCACTCTGGTCAACCTTATGCGCTGCACAAACCGAACAATTCCTAACAAACGCAGCCACATCTGACCTAAGTTTGGGCCAATAAAACCTTTCACTAACACGCTTAAAAGTTTTCAACACACCCATGTGTCCAGCTAAAGGCAAATCATGCAATTGTTGCATAATCCCTCGCCTATCCCCTTTAGGAACAACTTCTTTCCAATCGTCAGCAACATCTCCTAAAGTCTTATAATTTGTTCTAATGTGTTTGAATAGCTTACCATCAATGACTCGCCACTGTGAGTACTTTATAGGGTGTTTTAACACCTTATCTATCATACCACTGTACCAACGATCTTTAACAACAGAAACCTCACTAATCTCAACATTCGGTATAGCCCTAGACAAAGTATCCGGCACAACATGATCTTTACCCTTGCGGTGAACAATCTTAAAGTCGTATTGTTGGAGTTTGACACTCCATCTGGCTAATCGACCAGCAGGGTCCTTTAGATTTTGTAACCAAACCAGGGAATAATGATCGGTGATTACTGTAAATGAGACACCCTCTAAATACGGTCTAAGTTTCTCTACTGCCCATAGAACAGCCAAACATTCACGCTCCGTAGTGGAATAAACACGTTCCTGCTTAGTCAACGAACGACTCAAATAACTAATTACTCGATCCCCATCTGGATGAATCTGAACGAGGACAGCACCGAGTCCATAACCACTAGCATCACAATGAACTTCAAATGGAAAATTATAATCAGGACAACTTAGCACAGGGGCCTTCACCAAACATTCCTTAATCTTATTAAATGAAACATCACACTCTGGTGTCCAGCTAAACTTCCTACCCTTACGCAACAAAGCCGTAATTGGTGAAATCAAAGTGGAAAAATCGGGAATAAACCTGCGGTACCATGAGAAAGTTCCTATCACACCACGAACATCTTTAACACATTTAGGCGTAGGTAACAACAACATAGCCTTGACCTTGTCAGGATCCACA